GCTCGGGATTATTGCAGTTGTGATCTAGAACAATCGAAAGGGCACTAGCTTGGGGGTTGGTCTGTGAACTCCATAACAAGCTTGAGCATGAGCACTGAAGTATTGATCCAAGGTCCTTAGAGCTACTAAATCCCATAGGTCAAGAACATGCTTTAGTACAAGTAGTTTTTCTTTATGCAATTGCAAACGGGCTTGTTTCCCTTTAAGCAGGGACTTTACCACTTAAATAATTTGTGTTCAGGAACTACTTTTTTGGATTCTCTAAGGATTTTCTTTATTGGAGGTGTGCTCTTTATTCCTCTGTTCTGAAATTAAATTTTAATAGCAACTAGGAATTGCTATTAATGAGGCAATAGACAAGGAGAGGAGAAGGGTGACTCAGTAGATGAAAGAGGTAGCTCAATATGCAAAATGGTGTTAATTCAAGTGGTTCTCAAAGGAATAAAAAAATCTGATTCTATTCTGATGTCTGTCAAGTTGTTATAGAATACTGCCTAAACCTTTCTTCTGATAGCACTTGTGACTCTTCTTTAAGGGGCAGTAATACTGTTCATATTATCAGAAATATTGAACTCATTAACAGTATCTAAAATCATTGGAAGTTTATCTTTTTGTACATATGAATGCTATTATTGGAGTGCATGATAGTAAATCATAAATAGTAAATGATAGTAAATAAATAGTAAATGATAATAAATGATAGTAAATATGAGATGCAGTGGTTCAAGTGGTTAAGACGCTGACTCTGTTGATTGCAAGATCGGCAGGTTGGCAGTTCGAGGCCCAGGTGCTGCATGATGGGGTGAGCTCCTGTCACTAGTCCCACCTTCTGCCAACCTAGCAGTTCGAAAGCATGCAAATGCAAGTAAAATAGATACCACTTTGGTGGGAAGGTAAACAGCGTTCTATGCAGTCAGGCTGGCCACATGATCCCAGAGTAGTCTGACAACGCTGACTCTTTGGCTTAGTAACAGAGATGAGCACCGCCCCCTATGGTCGGACACGACTTGACAACCTTGTCAATGGGGAATACTTTTACCTTTTTATGATAGTAAATACAGCACCAAAAAATTAGTAAATACTTGAATACTGGCTATTTTGCCAACTTCTGCAATTAAAGGCAAATTACTTCATTTCTTACATGTCTGACAAACATATATCATAATAAGCATTTCAGAGGACAGTGTCAGAACTCCATTAACAGCTAAACTTTCACTTCCTAGTTTTGTGCTTGTTTGTGTGCCTTCCAGACTAGCTGAGGCTGCAGTGAGATAAATGGATGGGCGTAGATTACATTTTCCAGATCAGGTAAACAGGATGAGCATATAAATGAGTATTTTTCCCACCCTTCTTGAAAAAATTGCAGGTTTCCATAGTGTGATATCAGGACAAGGTAGCAGGTGTTCTAAGAGCAGGAACAGATGACCAGGAAGGGGCAGCTTCAAAGATGCATTGGGGCTGTGTCAAACACACCGCGGTCTGAATTTGGCCCAAATAGAAGCTAAAAAGAGCCGCTCCTATTTGGGCCGGGAAAGGGCCACCTATTCCGGCCCTGCTGCAGCCGCAGAGTGGTTTCAAGATGCTCCGGCAGCATGTGGCACATTAATGCCGTGCTACCAGAGCGTCTTGAAGCCGCCCACATCTGGGCAGCCAGCCAGCTTCCAATGGCTTCTGGGCATCTTTGGAATATGCAGCGTATAAATGCTGCACTCCCAGGATGCCCGGAAGCGGGCTTTAACAGGCTGTCTGCTTCGGCCCTAAGTTTCTCCTGCCTCAAAACACAAACTTAATTACAGAAATGCATATTTAAAACATTCATTCTGTTGAAAGATCTTTGGAGAGTCCAATCCAAATACCTGAGATTTCAAATTAGTTGACTGCTCCTGGCTCTGAAAGTGAGGATACGATAAAAACTGCTCCTGCATCTTGCCAGTGCTTTTTTCTCTCTCTTTCCATGTCTTTTGGTCTGACCACTAGGAAAGGATGGAAGTACTGATATCTGTATCCCACCTTTCACCTTTGGTCTCTAGCTCCTGGTTTTTCATTTACCAAGGAATCCAGGAGTTTGGCAGTGACCTCTTGTATTCACTGTGCATGCTTACTTGTATGCTTATAAACCAGAGCAGTAATGCTAGAGTACTTGTAAATGCAAATTCAATTTGTAGAAACTGATTTCAGGCTTTTAGACATATGTACAGGTAAATTTGAATATGATAAATTGAAGAACAGTTCAGAGTGATCACTACTGTTTTATTTTTATGGATGGAGAAGGCAGATATGTGAGAACGACCTCTAAATTTATCATGGACCTTATGCTAAAAGTTGTCCATATGTTTCCTGTCAGGATTTATTACAATGCCCAAAACTGATTTTGAACATTATCTGTTCAAAATATTTAGTTCTATATGTTCTCATAGGTTAGGCCAAATGAGAATAAAGTAGAGAGGATCTGGAATGTCCTGAATACCTTAGTGAGTGTATGAAGCAGAGTAAATGATGCAAAATGGGCTTAAAATGTATTTTTTAAAATCCTTGTACAGGCGTCTCTCCCGATCCGCAGGGGATCCATTCCGGAACCCCCTCCTGCAAATCCGGAAAACCGCAAATATTCAAGTTGCCATTGGTTACAATGGCCACACGGTCCCGTATGCACACCATTTTATCCCTCCCTGATTGTCGTCCATGTAGGAACAAGACTGCGGACGCCAAGTCCACAAACAGGGAGGAATGAGTGTATTTCAGGTAGGGCACTTCTAGGTCAGAAGACTGATCCACTGTTGAGAAACTTGCTAGTGTCTGGTGGACATCTCTGGTAGAAACACACATCAGCAGTTCCTGAAGCTAAAGGCCTAAGCAGACTGCCAGAAATAGTGCACATTAAATTGAGGCACTGCCCTGGCTCAGTGCTAGGGAATCATGAGAATTGTATTTTTTTCTGAGACATTGAGCCTTCTCTGTCAGAGAGCTCTGGTGCCACAATAAATTACAGTTCCCATGATTCCCTAGCACTGAGCCAGGGCAGTGCCTCAATTTAATGTGCACTATTTCTGGCAGTCTGCTTAGGCCCTAAGACAGGGGTAGGCAACCTTTCCCCTTTAAGGGCCGAGAGACTTCAGCTCCCAGAAGCCTCAGCCATGTTGGCCAACAGTCCCATGTTGGCCAATAGCTCCTGGGCTTCTGGGAGCTGAAGTTCCTCGGCCCTTAAAGGGGAAAGGTTGCCTACCCCTGCCCTAAGAGATCCTGATATCTCTAAATTTAAAGCACCCGGGGACAGCATGCATTCTGAAATATTCTAGCTTGTTAACCTGGGATGCTTTATTAAACACCTTTTATCATGTTGGCCTGAGAACATTATAGAGTAGTGGTATGGAATTATACAATCAAGATGATGCCTGCAGAACAGACTATATCAGTCACGATTAATGTTCTTTGAAGTTTCTCGAGATGGCATACAAATTAAGATATGTGAATCCTGGTAATACCTTTCCCAAGAAGAGCAAAAACAAAAATGGGGGGGGGGTCTCTCAGGTCCCACAACATATAACTTACCTGCATTTTGCCTATATCTTTCCTATAAATCGCATCCAACTGGGGAATTCTCCCATCCCTACTATTTTCCTGTCCTTGAGGAGTAAGAACAGAGTCTTATGGAGACTTTAGACATAGGTAAAACTCTGAAAAAGGGTTTCATGTGCCATAACAATGGCTACCATGTGCGGGTGCCCATTTACACCTGCATGTGCTATGGAATTATAGTTTATTGCCTGTCTCAGTGAAAATATAAACAGATGACAATTGTTTATGTCACTTGAATTTAATCTGCCGTACTTCATCTGCTGTGATCATATTCCTTGTGTTCTAGTCTTTTCAGCTTCAGAAGTCACATTAACCATTAACATGCTCTCTGACAAGCAAAAAAGTCCTGAATTTGAAGTTGTAGAAGTGGGTGGGAACTGTCAACAGCTTTGTGTTCTTCAGTAGTTTCTCCATAATGGGAGTGGAGGAAATTGGTGCATGTTTTGGAAGCACAGTCCTTTCCTCTCTTTCCTGTGGGAAATAGAATCAGGGAGGAAGAGGCTCATGCGGTTTCTGTTTGAAGGACTATGAGTCTTTTCACTGAGCACTGAGGCCAGAATTTTCTCCTGCCTTTCCTGCAGGAACTGCTGAAGGGGAAGGATCCCTTGATGTTGGCTGAAGCTGTTTGTCTCTTATCTAGGATGGTAGGACAAAGCTAAACACCACAGTTTTTCTTTGAACAGCAAGGCCAGAGGAAAATTGTAAACTGCCTGGTTCTGTCTTTCCTATACTTCTTGTGATTACAATTATCTGAGGGAGATCCTGACCTGAGAAAGAACTCTTATTACTTGTAAACCTGCTGCATAGTGTTAGGAATTGCTGCTTATTTTCACTATCACTATTAGTTTCATTAAGAGTATTTCAAAATAGTATAATTATCTGAGGCAAGTGCATTGGATTTGATCAAACAATTGTGAAGTTTAGCACTTCCACATCTTTTCTAATATGAAAATAATTACACAAATGTGAAATTCAGCTAAGCCGTATTCATATATGAAGTTTCCAAAAAAAAAAATTGTTTAAAGATGTTCATAATGTACAGTGACTGTAAACTTTTCATTGCACATGCACAGTGGCCACATTTTAATTTTTTTTCCTATTCTATGCTTGTTATTTGAAAGCAAATTATAAATAAGTAAAAATAAACTTAGTCTAGAGTTGTAGCTTTGAAAATTGTTTTAGTACGTACAAAGATAAAAAGAGATTATCATGAATCCACACATGCACCTACCACTGAAAAATTGTTTGCATTCTTATAAAATAATGGAGTTGTAATCCCATTCCCTTTTCTTGTCTGGAGAAAACGAAGATTCTTTCTAATGTCACACTAGCTTCTCAGTATTCTTATTGTCTCAAAACTGGAACTTAATTGGATAATCCTGAAACATAAAAATGTAATTAGGTCCTCTAAATATTAATGGAGAGCCAGCATGGTGTAGTGGTTAGATCGTTGGGCTCTAATCCTGTAAATCAGAGTTTAAATCTCTGTTCAGCCTTGGAAATCCACTGGGTGACCTTGGGCAAATCATATTCACTCAGCCTCAAGAGTTAAAATTCCATCTGAACAAATCTTGCCAAATCTCCATGATAATTCATCCATAAATTGGAAACAATTTCACAGTACAGAACAACAGATATTACATATGGTTGTTATGATAGATGAGCAGTAACTTCTAAGCATTTTATCTAATGATTAGTTACTTTAATAAAATGATTCCATATTAAGCTGCATCCAGTAGCAGACTACATGAGAAACATTGATCAATAAACAATTTTATCTTGAAACAAAATCTTTTAAATACATGTGTTACACATGGTTTATATCATCTAGTCTTTCTGCTACCTCTAAATAATCCAGTATATTGCACTCCTCTCTAGCCATTTATTGCTCTCTTGCAGCAATATTGGGCAAATATGATAAAAAGCTATAGCTCAGATGCTTAAAACAGCCAGGTATAAAAATTGACTTGCTTTTTTTATCCTTTAAAAATCCATTGTGGTTACAAACAGCAGGAAATCTTTTGGAGAACTTTTAGCTGATCAGCGGTGTAGGGATTGATTACATAAGACCATAGAGTGAAAGGTTCTTATAACCTGGAACAAAATAATAATGTTGTCTGTTGGGCGACTTAAGGAGTGGAGAAAATTTAGCCCTCCTAATCTTTGAACTACAACTCCTAGCATTTCTCACCATTCGCTGTGAGGATAAGGACTGCCGAGAATTAAAGTCACAACAACATTTGGAAGACAGCACTTTGCCTTTGCCACCCTTGGCCTGCAAATATTCAGTCTTAAAAACATTAGCAAAAATACTGGGTTTAAAACTAAAAAGGGTAAACATACAAGGACTCCTAAAATACAGTACCCATCCGCAATGCTATTGCATATCTGCCATATAATAGTCTTTGGAGTTTAGGCATGTTCCTAGATAGCTAGGCAGCAATGGGTACATTATGTATAAAGGTAAAGGTATTCCCTGTTGACAAGGTTGTCAAGTCGTGCCCGACCATAGGGAGTAGTGCTCATCTCTATTACTAAGCCGAAGAGCCAGCTACTCTGGGATCCTGTGGCCAGCATGATTGCACAGAACGCTATTTACCTTCCCACTGAAGTGGTACCTGTTTATCTACTTGTATTTGCATGCTTTCGGACTGCTACGTTGGTAGAAGCTGGGACTGGTGATGGGAGCTCACACCGTCATGCGGCACCTGACCTTTGAACTGCCAACCTGCTGATCTTACAGTCAACAGAGTCAGTGGGCCTATGCAAACCAGACATTTGGGATGACAGAGAGCCACCCCAGGAAGCGGCAGATCAGGGCTGCGGCAATCATACACTGCAGTCCTGTCGCGCCGAAAAGAGCGGCAAAATGCCACTCCTTTTAGGGGCAGCAAAAGGCCGCTCTAAGAGCCGGTGCTGCAGCTCTTCCACGTCTTTTTAGTGCAGCGTGTTTAAATGCTGTGCCGGGAGGGCATCGGTGGGGTTGGGGTTGCTGGCATGCGGCTGCCCCGCTCCAACTCCACCCCAAGGCTGGCCCTTTGGGCCGGACTGCAATGGCCTAATGTCTTAACCACTTGAGCCACTGCATCCCTGGCATTTTATACCAACTGCATTGATTATCATTCCATTTATAGGTTCAATCTGAGGTACTTGTTTTGACCTGTAATATTTTAAATGTATTAGGAACAGGGCACGTTTCAGAAATTGCTTCCTGATTTATAAACTTGGCTGAATGTTAGTAGCAAAGACTTCTGTTTCAGTAGGCTTCCTCAGATACTGCTTGCTGAATAGCAATTTAAATGCTCATGTATTATCTAGGCTAGCTAGACTGCTCTTATTAAGTGTTATTTTGGATTTATTTTTGAATTTGAATTGTCTCCTGCATTACTGAAAATATATTTTAATTTAGAAATAAACATATATGAATGCTTTCTTGTGTGTAGAAACCACTAGCATGAGTCCTTGAAAAGTTGTCATACCTTCATAACTAATTTGTTGTAGCTTGGGTTAGAGAAGCTCCTAGTCCTTAGTCTTAAGATTTTTTTAATAAAATAGTTGGCAAGCTCATTTATAATATTGGCCTACCATAAATATTCAAAACAAGTGGAGGGAGCACATTTGGTAGAAAATTTCATTAGCTCATTGTTGGGGGGTGGAATGAGTCAGTAGTGCTTGGTAGTCATTGTTTTGCATAAGAGGGAACTTCAGTCACAACAGGATAGCATCAGAGTTCCTGAACTGGGCAGAGCATCATCCAATGTCAATAAAGGCCATTCACATCAAGGGAATCCAACACAAAGGCTTTCTCACACAGTGGGGAATCAATATTGCAGGCTGGAACTGGCAATTAAATGATGTAGTATGCTGCATCTAGGAGCTAGATGTTACTTGCTTCAGCAGATAATACTAAGCTTGGATTTCTTTCTCTAGGAAAATGAACCCATCTTGGCAAATGTCAAAATCAATGTCTCTGCTGTTTTTGCTTGGATGTACATCTCTTTAACTAATGCTATCATCTTTTCCATGACTTCTGTGGAACTTGTGCAATGAGAAGGAATAATTACTGTTAGTCTGTCACTGGTCTTGCTCAGCTTTTCTCATACAGGAAGTCAGGCTGTAACTTACATTTCCAAATATGGTTTCACATACAGAATGAATGTTTGGCACTAGTTTAAAATTAAAGATTAAGTCTAAAGTGAGTTTACTGTTGTAAATTGCTTCCAAATCATTCATATCAGAGTAGTCACAAAAGCAAATTATTAGCAGGCAGTATTTACTGAATGCTGTTGGAATCTGGACCTATATGTAGCAGATTTGAACCTCAGTTTTATATATGAGCCTATGTCAGCTGTTGATCCATGATGGTCACAGTCATTTGTGGGTAAGCAGCCACAAACAAATCCCCTTATTTGCACTACTTCATGATTCTGCATAGACACTGCAAGCTGCTGCTGATTGCCCTTTTCAGAATTTTCTGCCCATGTTTAAATGCAGAACTTAAAATGATAGTCCTGAGATCCCATTCCGCTTGAGCAAGATTACCTTGACAGCATCCTTCTTGTCCACTTCAGCAATCCTCTCCCTTCCCAGCATATGTCTGTTGCTTTATATTTTTATAGGAAAGAGGTGGTAAAGCAAGTAAATTTTCCACAATAGGTAATGGCTATGGAGAAAAGACCGTCTTAAGCATGTGAACACTTTTTTTAAATCAAGACTGAAATGTCATTTGATTCAGGAATGTGTAGACAGAGGATTATGCAACTATGGAATTCTTGTATCTAGGAATACATGCTAAATATTTTCTTTGTGCCTTATCTAATAAAAATGTGTAAAGGAACTTTTTGTTCCAGAAGTTGGAATAAAGTATTTTAATGAAAATAGAAAGTATGTTAACATTTGTAGACTATTTTAGTATCTACTACATATGTATGTGGTACAACCAAGACTGTCTGCTTTTTAAAGCAGCATGGACTTAAAAGGGCAGTGGAGTATATGTGCTTAGTAATAATGTTGGCCACTATTTTTTTTCCAGAAAACAATGTTAGAGATGGCATTTTCAACTTACCATCTCCTATAGTGTGAGGCTCACAGAGATCTCTGATCTTTGATGTAGTTCCTGCTTTGGGTCCCACTACAAATATTAGTGCAGCTCATGGATATACAAAAATGGCTATAACACCCTTTATAAGAGGAGACAAATCTCCTCTCTACTGGTATCCATTTGTTGTTAACTGCCCTCGAGTTGATCTTGACCCATGGTGACCCTATGGATGAGACATCTCCAAGACTTCCTGTCCTCCACTGCTCTGTTTAGGTCCTATAAACTCATACCCATGATCTCCTTAACAGAGTCCATCCATCTAGTACATGGCCTTCCTCTCTTTCTACTTTCCTCCACCTTTCCTAGCATTACCGTATTTTTTGGCATATAAGACGCTCCGGCATATAAGACGCA